CCCATTCCTGCCTTTTTTGCTCAGCATGCAGTGGCTGCAGCAGTTCAGGGCAGCTGCGGGTCATTGGATAAATTTGGGGGAATACCCAAAGTTCAGTGCTCTGCAGAATAATCCCAATGTCCACCCAAAAACGACAACAGCAGCTGAACTCCTGCCTGAATCCAGCATCCCACAGCAGCATCAGGGAGCTGTGAAGCCACTCAAGCGGAGATAGAGGAAGCAGCAATGGGCACAGACTTAAGAAAAAAAATCCCAGACACGTGAAGAGTACAGGATGTCCCCGGGGTGACTTGGACCGTGCCATCCTCAGGCACTCAGGTTCCATATCACAGCCTTTCCCACAGGGATGAGGCGGTGTGGGATCCAGGCAGTGCCACATCCTGTTGCCGGTTGTCATTACGTTTGTAGGATATTTAATTCTCGGAGGCATCTACGCTGCTCTTAAACCAGCTGCTTTAGAGGTGAGGAGGGGGATGGGGAAGCACAGGGATTGAAACCAGAGGACAGGGGACAGGGAAGGCTGTGATTACCTGTCGAGCCCAAGAAGTACCTGTCCAGGACAGGCCCGAAGCCGTCGGGGTTGGTGCCGAGGTCTCCGCTGACGAAGGGCTGCGCGGGGCTCTCTGCGCCATTGAGGGGCCAGCGCTGGGCACGGATGCTTGGCCCACCGTACCAGGAGACATTGGCCATGGAAAAGCAATCCTGCAACCAGGAGAGCATCGTTAAAGAGCAAGGAAGGCTCAGGGTGAGGAGAAAGGTCAGGTTGGGTGAGGCCGGGAGCAAACTGTGCTAGTGGAAAGTGTCCCTGCCTGTGGAATGGGGTGAGCTTTAAATTCACCTTCAGGACCCCAGCTGGGAAATCTGTTTGGGGTTTCTTGGTTTGTTTGGGGTTTTTGTTTGGTTGTTTTTTCTTTCTTTGGTGCTTTTTCTTTGTTTGCTTTACTTCTAAGTTTGTTTTACTTTTAAAGGCATTAACCTTTCTATCCGCTTTTCCCAGAGTTTCTGGCACGAATTTACAGCTGCAACTGCCCCCACCTGAGGGACGTTTTAGCCCTCACCTCGATGGTACCACGGCATCCCTGGAGGGACACGTGCTCTCTCCCAAGGCACAGCTTCCCAAGGGCTCATAACAAGAATCTCCCTCAACGAGACTCAGTTTGGGGGATTTGGGACACTTCTCATAGGGCTGACAGGACCCTGTACCCGGGGACATCCTCATCCTTGACCCACCTCCTGCCAGAAACCATCCATTTTCACTTCAAAGCCTCTAAAACTTTCTCCTTTCTGCCAAGTCAAGGGATCAGCAGGACTTAAGAGTCCGCGTGACTTCCCAGGCGGGACGGGTTTCCCCGAAATCCCGAGGATTTGGGGCCGTGGAGGGAGGCTGGGGCAGGCAGAGGAGACCTGAAGAACCCCAACTCAGCCCACCTCGTGTTTATTCCCAATCCCAAGGCTTCGGAGCCTCCTGGAGCCCTGAGCTCGGGGCACAGAGAGGTTAAGTCTCTCCAAGAGGTGGGGAGAGGAGATGTAAATTATTAAAGTGGAAACCCTGGAGGCTCGGAATAGATGTACCAGGTGTCAGCTGAATTCATTACACCAGCTGGAAAAGAGGGAAAAACAGCCTGTTCTAAACTCAGATTCCTCTGGATCATATTTTCCAATGGTTTGTTTTTTTTAAAAAAAGTGGGGAAAAGCCTCTTCTGTCTTGCTCATCCTCTCGTACACCCCACACCAACGCCAGCAAAGGGGACCCAGCCCCGTACACAGGGGTTGTGCTCAGGCAACACCTTCCACTCACCCAAAATGGTGCCAACAGGTGATTTATGGCTGAAGGGGAACAATCCCCCGTCCCACACCGCCCCATCCTGCTTTCCTCCCTGTCCTGGGGGCTCCCCACAACCGGACACCTCGCTCTGACAGGGTTCCTCCTTCCCCTCCTAACGCTCCCTTTCAGAGCCTGCTTTCGTTTAACCGAGGGACAAAACAGGGAATGATACCAAAAATAAAGCCCCCCTCGGTGTTTGCAGCAGCGGACGTGGGTTATTCCCATCCCCTGGGAGCTGCCCATTGTGTCTGCGTTGGAATGGACCTTCCCGAGGTTCTCGCCAGCATTGTCTCCAGCAGTTATTTACTCCGTCTCCATATAAACACAGTGCTCCCACCCCGGGGTCACCAACACGGCACCACCAGGGCCCCCTGGGGGTTTGGGGGGCTCAGCATCAGGTCATGATGCTGCCAAAAGGCTTTTCCAACGTGGCACCGGCCACAGCCCCTCGGGGTTCTGGGGGCTCAGCATCAGGTCACGATGCTTCCAAAAGGCTTTTCCCACCCGGTCGCTGGAGGCTGTGGGAGCTGGGGAGCTCCACGGGAGCTGGGGAATTCTGCC